GATGTACAAATGCGCTTTACACAATTGATGTGTGTCTGGATTGGGATAACAGTTGTATGAGCCCCTAATAAAATGTTAAAAAACAAAACAAAACAAAACAACCTGCTCAGTGACATCCAAAGTTAGGCTGCCATCCTGAATCTGGGATCCGCCCATCTTGTCACATGTGTACCCCAATACCTCCCCTTCCTATTGCGTGGATAACCCTAGATCATCCCCCTTTCATTACTGTATTACATATAGTACAGCCCCTTCCTGTGACGTATGTCTTTACCTGTAATTAGGGGGCTTGCATGCCCCCCAAAGATATATAAGCCTGGGTTAGTAATAAAGAGCTCGCTCCTCCATTCCCTCTCTCCCCCCTCCCTCCTGCCCTCCTGTCTCCCATCTCCACGTGGACCACCAAGCGGGGCTGAGGTGAGGATGCTACTATGAAACATGTCTGACTCCTTTATTTCCATCCCTCTTCTCTCTCTCACGCTATGACGTTACTATAATCTCTATATATCTTAACCATACAATTGTGCCTATAGAACCCGCGATTAGTTGTGGGGGCTGCCCTTCCCCCACATAAGCAGTTTCTCCTGATTTGACCTTGTTCAGGTCAATGAGGTGCTGGGGTGGTAACTGGGACTGCTACCGGCTGTCCACTTTTGTTTGTCTTGTTGTGTCTTGTTTTGTTGTCCCCTGTGGCTCTCTCTAGCATAGAATTACTGCGGGGGCGGGGGATGGGGGGGGTGTTAAAATTGATGACTGGTTCCGCGGGCTCCACCTCTAGAGAGCCTGACTTCACCTGCTGCGAGGGGGCCAGGTAGCTGCTTTTTGTCAGCGTTCTCAGGTGGCTCCAGGGCTCAGCCAGGTTGGAACCTCATTTCCATCCATAGTGGCCTGGATCAAAACACTGCTGCTACCTAAGGGACACTTGATCTGATTCTTCTAAGAACAAGTGCCTTGCAAATACTGCTCTGTGATAACGGAGAAGATTAGGAGCTGAATTGTCTTCAGAAGAGGGTGCATACCAGGAAGAGTTTTCACGGTGCACTGACCTTGGGC